AATATTCTATGGAAGTCTTTTGAAGCATACAAATATATCATTAATAGCTTAAAAGCACAAAGTAAGGATGCCTCGTGTCCGCATCCTTACAGTTGCGCACATTACATCTTAGCGGTAAGACTAACACGATAAAGAGATAGAAATGTTCTAGAAAAATATTTTGTTTTTCAACATGACCTTTTTCTTTTCCATTTTAAAGGATAGCGCAAAAATCTTCAGTTATGGTGTCTGTGGACAAATAGCATTAAAATTAATCTTCCAATTTAAAAGATTACTTCAGAAACCAAGGTTACTAAAAACTACCATCTTTCAAAGGGAAAATATAAATCTGGCTATGTTTCTTGGAGGTTTTGGCGGTCTTTACAGAGTAATAATCTTATATTTGCTAAATATTGTAAAATTAATGAAAATATGGAATTATGGAATATCATTTGTGTGAGTAAATAAGTTTCAACATTTTTTTTTCTCTTCGTATACAGCTAGTGTCATGCATGTTAAGAAGAATTCTTCATAAAGATGCACATATTTACGCCATTCCTGCTGGACTTATTGCGAGCATAACGTTTACGGCATATCCCAATACTACTGTAGCTTTGTACTTCATGTGGAAAATGTTACAGGTATATTTTTTAATATTCTCAATATTCAGAGTCAATTATGATATAACATTGCTGGCCTCGTTTTAGCTATTATGGAATGACGCAGTAGAAAAGAAGAAAATATCTGAAATAAAGTGGTTTGCAATTTTATTGTATTGCTTTAGCACGGCACTTCTCTTTCATGTGGCTATACTAGAACCGCAAAATCTAAGACCATCCTATTGGAGATTCCTTTACAATATGTCCGGTGGAAGGTAAGCAATGAATCCAGCAAAACAAATTAAAGAATATATTTTGTTCTGACTTTATATGTGTGAATTCCAGAATAGCAGTAATGTCTCGATTACCCTTGAATATATTCGGTCTAGAAAGCAACAAAAATTTGCAAGAAGTGCTCAGAAAAACGAAAACCACAGATCAGCTTAGTTTTTCTTTTGAAATGTCTACAAGTAAAAGCGACAATACGTACCTTAATGTCTTTTTATTCTCTTCATAAGAGCGTAATGTTTCAAAACCAAAGACAAAATGTGCGTTTACATGAATTGTATAAATTAAATTCTATACGATATGTAATGAAGGGAAGCAACAAAATGCACATCTTAGCGTAGCGAATTAAACATCGATGTTTTTCAATTTTCTTTCTTTTCTTCAACCTAATTCGAAAGCGATGGTGCTTGGATATGTTGTGATACTAAAAGAACTTAATACTTTTATACATAGATAGAACATATATATAGAACTTGTGTAACTTAATATATTTGATTGTTACGGTGTGATAATTATATGTCAGGGAAATAGATAAATATTATTTAAGTATGGATATGGTTATGCAATACGTTTATCCGTAAATGTTCAAATAAATTAGTAAGATATTTTCATACTTTCTCTGCGATGTATACATCATGATTTTTTTCTATGTTTAATATATGGACTTTATATTTGCTGCTGATATAATATAAATTACGTTTCGAACGGATAGACACATGTAATGGATTTTATTAAATATATATAACTTATTTATTAAAAGAAAAATAATATGTAACATTTTATTACTATATTTGCATTATGTCTGATTTTTAGTTATCTCTAATGCTCTATTCATTATGATGTCTGCGATATCCTTGTTACGTTTTTTTTGTATTCTCTTTTTCTTTCGCAATATATTGTCCCACTTGATACGACTACACATTTTCAAGTTTTTACGATTTACCATGCCAGCGACTATTTGAGAATCCAAAACTGAAGTCGGACTTCTCGATGACTTCACTTCAAGTGGTTCCAAATATTTCAATGAGTTTATCTGCCACGGCAATAATCCAATAGGACATTCAATCCATTGGTAATTACCTAGAAATCAGATAAAATATATATCATTGGTCTTTCAATTATAATATATTGAAAAAAATTGTAAAAATATACCATGTGCAAATTTCCAATGTGGATTACGGATTGTTTGGTCTGCTAACATAGGTTTTTGTTCAATTGCACATTCCATTTTATGTATCTGTATTCCATGTTCTATTAGATCAAAATCTTCCACACTAAATACTTTATCGCAAAGGTCATCATCATTGTTCTTATTATTATCGTTTTCTTGGAATATGTAAATTTCAAGTAAATTTAATAATTTTTTTTTCGTTTGCACATTTATTTTTGGTGTAACCAATTTCAAAAGCGGTTGTATCAATCTTGCAGAAAATTCGTTCACATTTAATAAAAGTCTTGATAAGAAGTTTATATCAAAAACAAAATGTGGTATGATACTCGATATATCTAACCATAAAACTTTCCGCAAATATGGATGATTAGAATGTATATGCTCCTTGAGATGCTGATTTAAAGTTTTTGTAGTTAATTTCATGCTCGACATCTGTGATTCGTACTCTATAGAATGAGAAATATCTTGAGCGAGATTCAATTGAACAAAACTATAGAAAATGGAACTTATCCATAAGGCAGCAAGATTTCTTCTTTCTTTATTTTCATATTCTTGATTCACGATATTGAGCAACTTAAACAGTAATGCTTCTAACATATTCTCTCTATGCAGTAAAAAGATGATATCTTTCCAAAATTGAAGCATTCTGAGAGGCAAAATTTTCTTTCTCATATTAATATTCTTTTTTCCTTTCTGCCGAAAAATTTGCAAGACATCTAAAGTTGATAGAAAAACCTTATTGTTACATAATGCGTTACAAATTACATCGCATTTTTTGCGTGTTGTACTCGAAGATTCATCTTCAGACAAATCCACTGATATCTTAGATAAAAGTAAAATCCGTGCAGTTTGCAAACTGTATTGTTTCTCAATTTTTATAGTTTTTTTATAAATGGATATATATTCGTTCTCCTCACTGTCCGAAGTCTTACTTTTATACTGAGACAACATATCTCGTAGATCTTGCAATATTTCTCTAAAAAGTGACATCAATAAATTAATTCAGTTAAAATCTTAAAATTAAAATCTTGGCAAAATAATTTGTTTGATCTGCAATGAAAATGAATGTACCGTAGTTGCGTTTCTGGTAAATCTGACACTAATTTAAAACCAGCATTGATATATAAACTAACAGCTGTCCAAAGTTCGATCATATCTAAGATTTGCGTTTCTTCAAATTCTTCCTTTTCTAAAGTATATGTTTCTTTCATGTAACATTTCTCCATCGTGCGTGCTTCAGGTGCCCAATATTCATCCTTTAAAAGATGTTTAAAAAAAATTTTGTAAAAATATACAAATGTAATATCTATGATCTATATTATATGTTCTGATTATATGATAAAGATTAACATACATGCAACCAGTGAAGTAATATATTAATCGCTATTCTTAATACTCCGATGGAAGGTAATTCATGTCCATGGGCAGCCTCATGTCTCAAGCTGACTATCCACTCCGGAATTTTCAATTGATTAGCAATCTTGAACAGGGATGTCTGTTTTGTGTGCCCTATGTTACAGAAGTGATTTAAGAATCTCATTATTATGGTTGAGTACATCAAACTCAAGTCGTTCTCGCAGTACATTGGCAGTTCGCCACTGTCAATCTTGGATGTCCATTCCCGATCACGTAAGCATACTTGCAGAATTGACAAAGTACAATCTACACCTGCTGGTAGTTTTGGCATTCTAGAAATAATGATAATGTATATACATGTAATGCAAAAATTGTTTCGCCAAATCAAATGTGATATTGCATCACCTGGCTTTCCATGCTAAAAGCCTTTCATAGGCTTTTGTCTGTTCTTCCATGTTGTTAGAATAAATCTGCCTGTATACGTCGTGCCATTCCATCCTTAAAACAATAAATCGATTAATGCGATTTTAATTATTCCTTCATAAAAAAAGCTCCATTCGTCGAACGATACTTACGGAGAAAACCATGGTACCCGCTTCACATTGTCTTGCGTTCCAGGCAACGCCATGGGCACCTTTATCTGCGCCATGTGCTTCTCACACGTGAGGTTATTTCGATTCTGAAAGAGAAAATCAAAATTTTATTATAAATCTAGTTAAAACGTTATATTGGATAAATGCGTCATTTGATGCAACAATATTGAAAATAAGATCCTGCAGACAAGGAGGAAATATTAGGAACAAAAATATTAAATTTTGAAAATGAAAACTCGAAATAAAGATTAAACATAATTCACAATGGACACAAATAAATGTAAAATATAATTATAAATGTTAAATTTACCTAGTAAGTCCAATTTTATTTTATAAATTGATGTTGAAGAGAGTAAACTTAACATTCACCAGCCGTGAACGGTCCGACTGGCGCCAAAGACGGAAGCAAACTAGATAAATGACGATCGAAATGATAAAACAAATGCAAAGTGTAACCGCCGTTTCAAAAAATCACACAGTTACGGAACACGTCCACCTCACTCAGAGGTCCTAAGAGGACTGACGACTGGTCTCTATCTCTCTCTCTGCCTCTATCTTCTGTTCTTCTATTCCTAAATCCGTGATTGGCGATTAATACATAAGATTATGTATTCGTTTTGCCGAATTACTTCATAATGGCGAGGCAAATTACAACTGTTTTAATAGATCTTAGCGGAACATTGCATATTGATAACACGGTTATTCCGGGCGCTGTGCAAGCGTTAAACAGGTTAGTTTAGATTGTTTACTTTTTTTTTTAGTATTTACCTTATTGTATAATCGTACTACAAATATTAAAAATGCATATTACGGAGTCACGCATGACGCACAATGTAATTTGTAAAAAAATGACGCGATTTAATTTTGTTACATAAAAATTTACATAATTTAACGTATAGCAAATCAACAAAGTTTGATTTAATTGATAATCTATTATTGTTTAATGACAGATTTTCATTTGCAAGATTAGTTTTATCTAAACAACTTTGTAAAATATTCCGAAGACAATAGTAAATCGGTAAAAGTATTTTATAAATTAATTAAACTAGAATTTAATGGAACAGGAAAAGTTTTATAATTAGCTTTCAATGCCAAGTAAATCCATGCTTTTTATAATAACAAATTTATATTTTCACGTTGCAGACTACGAAATGCAAATTTGTCAATTAAATTTGTCACCAATACCACCAAAGAATCAAGTAATTGCTTATATGAGCGTCTGACAAGACTTGGATTTAATTTGCAAAAAGAAGAGATTTTCAGTTCTTTAGCTGCAGCAAGAAAACTGATTATTTCCCGGCGATTGAAACCAATGCTATTAATTGACCCAGCAGCGCTGGAAGATTTTCAAGATTTAGTAACAGAAGACACACCTGACGCAGTGGTGATTGGTTTAGCACCAAGCAAATTCAATTATGATGAGCTAAACAAAGCATTTAGGTAATTTTTTATCTTTTTTCTTTTTCTATCTTTAAGCGTGACATGATATGAGCAATATTTTAGATTGCTTCTGAATGGTGCTTCTTTGATAGCTATTCATGAAGGACGATATTATAAGCAACCTGATGGTCTATCTTTAGGGCCAGGAGCATTTGTCAAAGGATTAGAATATTCTAGCAATGTAAAAGCAGAGGTTATCGGTAAACCAACTGTAGGATTTTTCAAAGCGGCTTTAGAAGAGATAGATCCAGCACAAGCTATAATGATTGGGGATGTAATAGTCCAATATTTTTTCTTCTTTTATGTATTATTATATTTTATGTGCTTACAAACATGACCTCTTTTGTAATTAGGATGTGAGAGATGACGTGGCTGGTGCACAGGCAGTTGGAATCAAAGGTATATTGGTACAAACTGGTAAATATAGAGCAGGAGATGAAAACACAATCACCCCAGGACCGGCAAAAGTATGCTCTTCTTTTGTAGACGCTGTTGAAAGTATTCTTGATGAGATTATTTAAAGATTTGTGGTTCAAACGAAATTACGAAGAATAAATAGTAATAGAATTCTTTATTCAAATATCGTTGCACAATGCAACTTCTTTTCTATATTAAATTATATTTCATATAAATACTGATTATTTTATAGTGTACATAGTCTGGAGTGTGAGATGCCCTATTATTGTAAAATAAATAATAAATACAAATAAAAATTAATGTCGATCCTTTCCTGATATGGGGCTTTATATGTCATTTTGCTTATTAATGTAAGATCCGATAGAGACCGAATGTCGATAGGAATGTATTACAAAGATAATCAGATAAATGCAAAAGTATTCAAGGATGATAGAAATATTGTATCACGTACACTCGTAGAAAACTGTAGAAAATGTGATTTTTTTCATTTTAACATTGAAAAATTTAATAATTTTTCATGTTGGGACAGTAAAATGTATTTTATAAAGCAATATTTCCCCCTTTCTGTCTGTTTTTCTCTTTCTCTCTCTGACACAAGCATTCGATTTTTTGTAGACGCAATATTAATCTATAATCTTAATTGTATTCTAAAAATTATAAATTTAATTTTTCACTACATATAGTCTTATACATAGTACTACATAGAACCTGCATTCAATAATGGAAACAGGTTCACAAGAAGGAAATGTCCTCTGTCAGAAATGGTATTGTGGTTCTGCAAGTTTAATTTTCAGTATAAAATTTGGCACCAAAATTTGCTATTTTTTTCTTTGGATTTTTTTTCTTTTGTATAAGTTAAGATAAAATAAATATTTTAATTTTACACTAGTAATGTTCTCAACATTAATACTTTTTTATGCACAATTTTTCATGTTTTGAATAAAAGAATTAAGTTTATATGGAGCGAAATTACGTACATTTTGCTATGAAATAAATAATGATGAAAGTTTACATGATAATACAACTTTTTTTGTTTACGTATCATAAAAAGAAAATAATGTAATGATGTAATGATGATCCTTGTGATTATGGGCCGTTGAATATCAATACAAGCCATAA